GGGCATCTCCAGCCGCGCTCCCAGGAAGGCCTTCCCAGGCGATTTTTTCGCGCCGGCGCCGAAAAAACGGCCCAGTCGCGTCCCCAGGAGCCCGATTTTCGCCGGCTTGGGCCGAAAACAGCGCCGGCGGACCCAGCCCGAACCCGGCGCGCTGGGGGGCGCCCGGGGGCGCCGGGACGAGCTGTTTTGGCGCGAAAAATACGCGGGCCAGCCGCGTCAGCGACTCGGCGCCTCGTCTTTCCCCAACGACCTCGGTTCCCGCGGGAAATCAATGGCAAGGCTGCCGCCGGTCGGCCTTGCCATTGATTCCTCACGGGCGGCGCTTCACGGGGCGGCGCGCCAACGCCTCCCTTCCCTCGCATGCGTACACACGGGCGCGGCCCGGCTATAAAAGCCAGCGGCCTCCACTCGCCTGTGCCCAGACCAGTCCCGCCCCTCGTCGCCGTCCAGCCCCTCCCTCTCCCTGCCTCTCCCGAGCGCCGCCCTCCGGCCTCTCCCTCTACCTCTCCCGAGCCCACCCAGCCCCGCCGTCGCCATGGCAGAACGCTTCCCCGGAGACGAGGCGGCGGCCAACGGCTTCGGCCGCCGTTCGCTCCGCGAACAGGAGTCCTGGCTCCTGTTCCAGGCGAACATCCCGGCGCCGCCGGACATGCGCGCCGGGCCATCGGGGTGGAGGCTCAGCGTCGGGGGAGTACCCATTCCCCCGTTGCCCGACGCCGTGGCGAAGCCGAAGTACTTCGCCGAGGAGGTCAAGATCGTGCGCGCGTCCCTCACCGACGCCCAACTCTCCCTCCCCCAGTACGCCGCCGACAACCACGCGGCCTGGGCGGCGTATTTCGAGCGCCGCCAGCAGCAGCGATTGGCGTCCACCAACGACGCGCCGGTGGTCGGCGGCCGGCAGAAAAGCGAGGGGCGCCACCTCTGGTGGGGCGTCCCCGGCCGCACACTCGAGGGCGTGCTCACATACCTCGAGGGCGGCAACGACCCGCCGTTGGCGTACCCCCCGGCGCAGCACCGACGTGTCGGGCCATGGGCGCCAAGGAGGTTCGGGTCCTCCTCCTCCTCTTCTTCCTCCCGATCCTCGTCGCACTCCTCCGGCACTCCGGCCCTGCTCGGCGTTAAGGCCGAGCCCGCGGCGGAGTCAACGAGGGCGGCCGGCGCGCCTTGTCCTCGTCAGCTCCTCCGCGCTTCGTCAAGCCAAAGACGGAGCCGGGGCTTGCGTCGGTGAAGGCGGAGTTCGACGACGACGACGCGGCCCTAGAATGGGCGCGCCAGGACTCCATTGCGATGGAGAAGGCGCGCCGGGAGAAGGTGAAGGAGCGCCAGCGCGGCGCCCTGCGCCGCTTCGAAGAGCGCCGACGCGGCCGCGATGAAGACGGGGTCGTCGTCCTACGCGACAGCGACAACGACGACGACGCCCCGCCGCCAGTCCGCCATGGCGACGCCGGGTCCAGCAGGGGCGCCCGCGTCAAGGTGGAGAAGGCCGCCGACGACGACGATGACGGCGACGACTTCAGCCCCTTTCTTTTTTAGATTAGGTTAATGTAATGAAAATGCGCGAATTTCACCGAAATTTGCCATGTTTAGACGAAATTTGCCATGTTTAGACGAAATTTAACTAGTTTTTATCATAACTTCGCCAAACGTCCCTTCTTTTTTTTTAATACGCGCCTAGGGGCGGCCCTGGGGGCCGACTCGCCCCCAGGGCCATTTTTTGCGCCGGCTCATCCCCAGGCGGCGCTTTTTGACGCCCCCCTGGGGGCCAACGGCTGAAGATGCCCTTAGAGCAAGTATAATAGGTCCTAATCAGCTGGCTATAAGATGTCCACATCAGCAAAATCTTATGTGGAGGAGAGAGAACACTGGAGAGAGAAGAGAGCTGGCGCTTCGCCCATCGCCGGGCGATAACACAAGCTCCGATGAAATTAACCGCGCATGCAGCTGGCGAGCAGGGCAAAGCATGCATGCAGCCAATCACTGTTCCTTTCTTTGCATTTCTCTCCATACAAACATTAAAGACTACAGCTAACCTACAGCCAGTTTATTATACGCCTTGGCTATATAGCTGGCGTGGTACTAGTATAAAGCCGGCAACAGGCTACTCTATTAGCTTTGCTCTTATCTGTTCGTGTCCGTTGAAGCTTTGGGGCAGCACATGTTACAGATTACCTTATGGCTATTTCTGTACTTACATGAGGTGATTTCTGCAAAATTCGAAGTGTGCGGCGTTCAGGTTCATCCCGTACCTACATTTTGTATCCAACGTTTGAGCTGTACAGGGAGTAGCTGGAGCACCGAATCCTTTGGAGCACTGGATATTTCCCCCTGCTGGGGGTATGCCTGGGACAATGAGCTTTGCGATTGCTGAAGCAAGGAATGGTACTGCAGCTGCTCATGACGTTGATAAGGGTAATGTGGCTGTGGAATCCGCGCCTGCTGGAGGTTACCTTGAGAACACGGATCCCATTCTGGTAAGTCATCGTCGTCGCCATCGCTGTTCCAGGGTTGGGCTGCAGCAGATCTGTTACCATACTTGCGAATCAATTCTCTCACTCGGTCTGTCGGGGAAGAAGTGTGTGCTAGATGCTGATGGCTCCTGTAAGTCTGTGGCACTGTCACATTGGCAGCCGAGTTTGAGACGCTAACGAAATTGTATTCAGGTAGGTCATCATCATCCCTAACAACACCAGAACCAAAGCCAGGAGGAACATCAGCGGTTACAACTTCCTGATGAGAAGCAGTGGAAGAGCGGGATGATGGCTGGGAGATCATGGGCATAGCTGAACCAGAAGTGGCAGCCTGCCTCTTGGAGTCATCTTGCCTATTGGGCACCCTAGATGAGGCATGGGGTCTTCGCCACACGACGACTCCGATGATAGATGTTCCAGGCACAGTAAAACTACCCGAGTGCTCCTTTGGCAGGTGGTCAGCAAGTATCTGAGCTGCCTTCCCTTGAGAAGGACAGAGGTACAACTCCACCCCTTCAGAAGGCTTCACTAGCCCTACTCTCTCATCTGCTATATATGAGTCAATAGTCTGCAGAAGAACGGTAGATTGTTAGCAAATCAGGAGCTGTGTGACAATGATAAGCTTTGACTCAAGAGCAAATACTTGAGAGATAGTAGGAAGGGACCTTTAAGAGATGATGTCGACCACTCTCAAGAGAGGCCTCCTTCCAGCGTAACTCAGTTACCTGTAAAACAAGTGACAGATACTCAATGTAAGAAAAAACAATATTTTCAGGAGCAAAACTCAAGAGTAGCCAGAAAGGTCTGAAATAGGTACAGATTACCCGAAATATTCGATATTTGAATTCAGTACAATGTGAACAGGGCAGTCTACCAAAAGTCTAAATAGTACTAGTAGTTTATTTGTTATTCAAATTCACACAAAATATGGTTGATAATATGAGCATACAGATTCCAGTTCCTTTGTTCAAAAAAAAAAAAGATTCCAGTTTAGGGTCGTAAAATTCATATGCCACTATTTTAATAAGCTTACCCTATTGCCACTGTTGACCAAACTTCATGAGCTAGCTGTGACAGGTAAGCAAAGATCATTTGCCCTTCGTCACAAAAGAACTGGTCTAATATGGCCCACATATCAGCCTGTTCTGTCAGCCGTGGGCCACCAGTCAGCTAACCTCTTCCTAACTATCCCAATCTTATCTCCCCTTCTCTTTCACTGATCCATGCCTACTCATCAAATCTCCGCCAAAGCAGCATTGATGCCCGGGCTGCGGCTCTGATCAGACTGCCTCCACCCAACCAACTAGCTATAGCAGCCCAAGCTCATGTTGTCTTCTGCATGGCATGGCAGACTAGGACCATAGTCTGGCGATGGAGCGGCAAACTCCAGCAGGTGGGAGCATGAGGAAGGTCTCTTGGCTGCTTGAATGCCAAGAGGCAGGACCTCATAAGGAGAGAGAAGAGATGACACGAGGCTGAAGCATATCAATGGCAAGGCTTGGCAGAATTGCGAGAAAGGGCAAGCAGCAAGGAATGTTTATTTGGGTCAATAAGGGTAGGGAAGGTCTCGGTGATGCTATCGGCAATGGTATTGCAGCAAGGGGGTGAACAATTGAGGAACAACATGTAGGAGGGTGGTAACAGCTTCAACAAGGTTAATTGAGATGCGAGGCCTGCCATGTACCCGCTAGCATGGCTAGATCGGGCCCAGGAGAGCGGATAGCCAAACACTGACAGAGCCTGTGGCACGGTATGGTGCCGACTGAGGAAGAAAGAAAAATTTGGTTTGATGTGGCATCAAAAAGAGGGGCCAACAAATAGCGTTTTCGTCAAAAAGAAGATGAGGACGAGATGGGTATTATGAATAAGTACAACATGAAAATACCCAAGTTTGGTTATCATTAGGATATCGGTAAGTAGTTACACTATAGAGTTTGTTATTGTTTAGAGATAGATTACCTAGATCTCAATCTCAGAGAAAAATAGTCTATCTACCTATAAAACTAGTAAACTATATCTAAGAGTAGTCTATCTATAACAAATGATAATAACTAAAGTTGGGCATTTGCAGCTGTCCACGGCCCTAGCAAAAACAGTAGTACAATTTTAAGAAGTGGTGATAAAATAGGGAGTGTCTGTTTTGCAGCGGCATTTCAGGTATTCAGTTACTTACAGTAGCACAAGGCTTACAGCATGTGTGAAATCTGTGTGATTTTATTCTTTTTCAATTTAGTGCTTAAGTATGTTCAGTTGTTCACTAAGAGAAAATCATGATATTATGATGAATAATTATGTTGCATGTGGTGTAAACTAACACAAATATCAAATCTGACAGGATTTGGGAGCGATCACAGAAAGCCTGTGAAGGCCCGAGTTTGCCTCACACAATAGAATTATAATTCAAATACGTGGTCCTGCGTACAGTTGCAGTTGCCATGATAAACTACCATACTGGAAGAGCGCAAGATCACATTGCACGCACCACGATACAGTTCAAGAGTAATGCTAAACATGCATAAATATTCTTATCAGGGCCTTCCCTTTCCTTTCTTTTCTTGTCCAATGTTTATTCTCCCGGTCGCTTTGCAATATCATACTGTTGGTAAGAGCACCCTAACAGTATCGTACCAAGATGCTCAAGTTCAGTATGTCAAAGCTCAAAGCAATCTATTTGTTTTACTATATAAAAGTCTATCTGCACCTTTGTTAACCGTACACAGGTGACCTTCAAGAAAGTAAATGGTTCGATATAACACTGATGTAACAGTAAATGTACCAAATGTCACAATCTAGAAGTGTCGAACTATTAACTAACTATACGATGACTAGGTGACTAGGTCTATCCATGGCTTGCTTCTATTGATCTGTTGCAGGAAACTCAGTTGTGTACACTATGAAGTCCACGGCTTATCATATGAAAAGATTATGAAATTCGCAGTACCTGACAATACTACAACTGCAACATATGTTGAGAAAAAAAATCCCTACATGGATCATGACAGAAAAGCGCTTCCTAGTGGTATATGATATATTTTTGTGAGGGTACAAGATATACACACACAACCATTCACACCACCACACCTACACACAAGTGTGGGTCTCCCACACATGCTGGCATGTGCTATCCCATATAACATGAGGATGCACCCTGAATAAATATGGCACACCCTGTCAATCCTAAGGGCTGAACCCAGGTGGGTTGGAACGAACAATCTCGCTCCCACCACTAGGCCACAGGCCCATCCCTTCAAGATCTGCCACGTTGGCTTCAAACGCACTAACTAACGGTGGCATTTAATCTTCCATTTTATGGCATCCCAGGGCCTAGACTGTGAACGGGTACACTGTGAGTTCACATGATACAGAAAATTCAGTTTATGTAGCTATTATGTAACCACAACGAAACACACTCAAGAGAACATGTTTTCGCTGGGTCCTTACAATCAATTATTATCCTGTCAAAGCGACAAACACAACTGTTTGCAAGGCAAAAGGTGCAAGAATGTGTATATGCCAGTAACAGAAAAGGTATAATCCAATTGCCAATTTTAATTAACAACGTAGTCATCAAACCAACAATAGCATATATGAAACCACACAAAGAAATAATAGTTACCGTTATAGTACGGCTGCTGGATTTAGGAAGCTGTTCGAGAAATTCTTCAAAAGCACTGAGTCTCACCCTTCCCTTGATTTCAAGAAAGCGGCGCCACTCATTTGTAGATGGCTTTTTACCACTGCAAAAGAGAAGCAACATGACAATGAAATAAGGATGCCGCCAAGACATTGAGATGCATGCTAGGACATGTGATGCTCTACAAAATGAAATGGTCTGTTATTCGTTAAAATTGTTGAAAATACAAATGAAAGTACTTCTTGTAGTTAACTGGGCATCTCAAAAAAAGGTTAATCATGCATGAGTATCATAAGCAAGGTAGATGAAACAAACCTTTTGAAGATAGCAACAATATTTGTGAGTGAAGACAAACTAAGCTCAATTGTTCCCTCCCATATAATGTCATGTGTCAGCACAGCATCAGGAGTAATATTACACTGCATAGTAGATTCAGGAATCGAGACGTTAACAGTATCTGATTTTTCAGCATCCACCTCTTCAGGGGGGGATTTGACTAACACATCTCCCTTTGGTTCTTCAACTGGATCCAAAACTGGAACTGGTTTGTTTATGGGTGATTCTGACTTGGATTCACAATAACCTCTTTGAGACGGCACATCAGAATGAAATTGGAATTCTGATACGGCGGCCTTGTCCATGGTTATGGGAAAATTTGCTGACTTAGCTTTGTCGGCTTTGTTAGTATTAGGATCATCTTGCAGGACTCCAATGGACTGATCTTTAGAATGTGGTTCTGAATCAAGGACCTGCATGAATTCATCCAGTGAAATGATCAGTGGGAGATTCTCCATAACCTTCAGGTCATCAACCATTGGTTCTAGCATGAGATCATTTTTCTCATTTGCTGGATATTCTAAATTGCTTGATGTGTTGCTGTTCCATGTCCCAACTACATCTTGCACACTGTTGTCCGATTCCTTGGTCACCCAGGGTACACTTGCTTTATCGTCAGATTTGGTCTGAACTGCAACAGGTTCTGATGGAACATAAGAAAGTGAATCACCACCAAGCCCAACTTCTACCGGAAAAACATCAGTTTCTTCCACCTCAACTTGAAATTCTCCCTTGTGTGTTTTCCTCACCAAGCGTCTAACGTCCACTTCTCTATCAGGAAGAACAACCATTTTTGCAAGCTCTTCAGCTTTAGCCATCCGCCACTCTGAAAGCTCCTTTGAAGCAAGTTCTTCAATGGTCATCGCACATAGGCATTTAGGTGTTATTTCTCCAGACAAGACTCTTTCCCTCAGCCCAGGATTGTTTTTATCTTTCAGATTAAACAGAAGTGATCTACCTTTCTCCTTGTATTTCTTATTAACTCCCTCAAATAATTTGAACATCTCCTCTTCAATTATGAATGCTAACCTTTGGGCCTTATGAATCCTGACCTTCTTTTCTTCTATTACCTCATCCATGGTAGTTCCTCTTTTAGACTCCAGGACAATTTGAGATAAATTAACCCCAGTTTGAACATCAGACATCCTGGCCCTTTTTGGATTTGGTTGTGACATGGATTCAGAAGCTCCAAGAGCAATGTGGGGAGTCCAGCAAAGCCCATCACCTTGCAAAACATCATCTAAAGAAACAGTGCTATTGCCCAATACTTTGTTTCCCAATGGAACATGTTCTGTTCGTTGCTGCATTGTCATGTTTGATCCCAAATTGCTACATAACGTGCCACCGTGTTCGCTTCTGATAGCAGCAACCTTTGTGACATTATCATCATCATCATCATCTTTACCTGCATCCTGGAATACGGCTGTGATTCCTTGCATTCTACCACCGTCTGCCTGCCTGTTGTCACCAGCTGATCCCACAAGTGACACATTTCCAGAAGATTGCTGGTCAGAATCTGTACTCAAGGCAGCAGACAGAGCCTCCCTGAATTTCGATCTCACAGACTCAGACAACTGCGGATGAGCCTTCGGCGGCAGTTCCTTCTGAACAGAACGCTTGCCAGCAGAAAACTGCGATGGTGGCGACTTGAGCATCTGGACCTTGGGCGACATCGCCATCTTCTTGACCACCGAGGGCGGCGCCGGCGGCTGCGAGGCAACAATCCCAGGATGACCCGCTTGAACACGCAGGACCTGCTGCGGCGGCCTCAACGACACCCTGCTCAAAGGCCTCGACCCGGTGAGGTCCGCGCTGGGCCTGGGCACGCCAACCTGCGCCGGGTGCTGGCTCATGGGCACGATCAAGTAGGAGCTGGCCGGCGCGGGCGCGCCCCAGTTGCCAGGGTGGAACGCCGCGGGGTACGGGACCTGCGCGGACCGGTGCGCAGCCGAAGGCAATTGTGGCTGTGGCGCCCGCCCCTGCTTCGTGAGCTCCATCGCTCTGCTGCACACTCCAGACACACGCACGCGGCAAAAGGTGAGACCAATCCATAGCGGATGGGAGTTGGCTAGGGTTGTGCTAGCACGCCAAGCGACCGAACTGCTCGGCGAGGGAAACGGCGCGTGGGTGCGCAACGCGGGTTTCTCGGAGAGCTCACCTCGGTGCCGTCGGAGTGAGGCGGTGCAGAGGCCGGAGGGCGGCGGCCGCGGCGGTGGCGTAGCGGGGGCTTGGTAGAGTGCCTAGGTGGTGGGGTCGGTGGTAGGGTTCGAGGATTTGGGGGTTTTGCGCTTTTGGGCGCGGTGGGGACGAAGGAGACGCCAGTGAAGGTGAAGGGTGCCGCCGCAGCACGCCGGCACGCGGGGCTGCGGCGTGGGCAAAATGCTGGTTGCTGGGCCTTCGAGGCCATCGCTTTGAGCCCGTGAATGTGCAAGATTTGTGTTTTGAGCCCACGAATGTGCAAGTGCTGCTTACCGTGCATGCTCGTGATTATTGAGTTTTTTTTTCGGGAGACGTGATTATTGAGTTGGGCTTCCTGAGAAAACTTCATCCGCCTTCGCTTGTCTCTGTCGCTCGGCTCTCTCAGTCTGACTTATAAGAATCCCTCACCTCAAAAAAAAACTTATAAGAATCCTTTTTTTTTAGAACTGACTTATAAGAATCCCTTTTTTTTGGCAGTAACTGACTTATAAGGGCATGTACAATGCATAGTCTCAAGGTGATGCCTCGCATGCCATGTAGGATCGGATATGACGTAAAGTAGGTTCGGATAGGGAAGCGGGATCCTCTCCAGGAGGCGGGTGCTTGAAGAGAAAAAGTGTGGTCCGGTGACAAAAGCTGAAAATATTGGAGTGAAAAGTACAGATGCATGTGTACTAGAATCTTTATTTTCTATTTTTTAATGAGGTCCACTAGTGATAGCTTGCATTAGGGAGAAAAAATAAATGTAGATGCCTCAAATTACTTTTTGTCATGGGGCATATGTATCCATATGCCACCATTGTACATGCCCTAAGGGCATGAACTATGCTACAGCGTGGACAGCTGCTCCACCGATCCACGTCAGATAAACAGCCGATGTGGAAGAGAAAGAGAGAAAAAATCGTGTTGTCAGAGTAAAACGGTCTCTTGCAGAGGAGTCCGCTGCCTCGCTCAAAAGTAAAGGGGGCAATGTGCTGCATGTGTGAAGGCCCACTGGTAAAGTAAGGCTGGTCATAGTGGGGAGTAACTTAGACTAGTAACATACATATGTTACTAGTCTATGTTACTACCTTCATAGTGGGTAGTGTCATAGGTGTGGTAACATAGTTGCCTTCATTTATTACTTTGTAGACTCATTATGCATTGGAAACCGCTATGTGATGGTAACATATTATGTTACTCTATTTGCCTCTCTCCTCATTAATTACTTGCCACATCACCATTTTTGCTTATGTGGCATCTATGTTACTACCTATGTTACTCCCACTATGACCAGCCTAAGAGAGAGAGCTAGGAAAGAAAAATTAAGTATGGCCCAGTGATGCAGCGTTGGTAGCTGGGGCAGCACCAAGGTGCTACCCCTATTGTACATACCCTAACAGGAGGCAATGGGCAATGTGGCTTCTCGTTTTGCCTTTTTACGTGAGACGAGTACATGATGAAGTAGTCACGCCACATACGTACGAACGAAACGATCTTACCTAAGCACTTGCAACAACCAACAACCATGTAAAAAAACAGATATTAGCAGTTTAGCAGATGGCTCCTTCCCGTTGACTTCAGAATTCAGATCAAATCGCTACCCTGCGTCCCCACACATCGCGCGTGCTATATGGGAGTATTTTTAACCACGCATCACCCCCCGCCCCCGACGGTCAACCCGCCCGCCCGTCTCTCCGCGGCCGGCGGCCGTCGCCGTCACCATCTCGCGGTGCCGTCGATTAGATTAACCGCGCGTCGTCGCTGACGTACGTCGATCAGGTTAGCTACAGCGTGCAGACCAACGACGCTCCAACCAGCCCTCAATGCGGGCGGGCGGGGCGGGCCGTCGTTGCTGCCGCCACGCGCGGCACGGCCGATGAATCTAGTTGGGGAGGTTGGTTGGTTGGTTGGTGGCCGTGCCTGTCTCCCACTTGGCCCGATCGAGTCGCTGTAGCCCGGTCTCCGGGGTCAGCTGGAATGCAGCTGCGTGATGTCCACGGGCCACCCTCGAAGGAGAGACGTATGTGCCGCCGGGATCCGCGCTGCTTCGTACTGTACGTGGATGAACGACGCTCCGTCTCCAGTCCATCAGCCGAATAATCCGTCGGCAGATTTGGGTGCTGCTACTAGTCGCGGGTGAGGTGACCGACTCCGGAGGCGCCACCGCGGTCCACGCATGCATGCATTGCGTTGCATGGGGTCAATCGGGGCGTGCTCGCTCGGGTGCTTCTGCTGTGAAGCTTCTCTCGGCGTCTAACGTAACACCTGCATGGCTAGAAGCTAAGGCTCCATGTAAGCACAGATTAGAGTATAAATTTCGATCTCCTTTTTACAAAAATCGATTTGAACCAGGTATGCTCGACACCTGTGATGCAGTACATGCTGAAACGTGAATTATTTTCTGCACGGGCATTGAACAAGATTTTGAAAAGCACCTACTTTACCCTTTCAACCACGTGTTAGCACTTGAAGTGGTTCATACGTGATGACCCCACAAGTAAGGGCAATGTAACATTCTCTCCTTGATCAGAAGTCAAGCTTGGTAACATGCCGCCAAACCGCTAGCTTCCTATCAAAAGACACAGCAGCCTCCTCCCCTAAAAAATTAGAGTTCCTCTACCTCCCGTCATCGCCATCGCCGGTCCACCTTGTCTTCGGTGGCCTTAGGGTCATGGGCGCGATGGATCTCAGCCCTTGTTGGTGGGAGAGCTATGTCTTTATATGTGTTTTTCAGTTTCGTTAGGCTTCCTGTCCTGCTCGGGAAGGTGAGATGGTAGTGGCTCCCTGAAGATGGAATAAAG